GCAACCTATATAATGTTATTAATAAATGCCACCCTAATAAATTTAACTTAAAAAAGGGACTATTTCTACTGGGCACACATCATTAACTTGATTTTATCTCTGTGTAAAATATTTATTAAACTACAACTGAATGTATTTATTAATTCCAATTAAAGCATGCATTTTGGTAATTTTCAAAATGCAAAATGAAAAAGAAAAAGCTGGCATTTATCTTATAAGTTGTTAATTCTTACGCTAGGGCCCATTTTTAAACATTAATTACTTGTAGCTTAAAAGCCAATAATGATTATGCACTGCCATCACTTATGGTACAGTAAGTCTTTGTCCTTTATAGATTTAATGTTTACTATTTCAATAATATGCTATTTATGGTGATTATTCATGACAGATTAATCTATCATTTTTTACTTTATTTTTATTTATTGATTTGTGTGTGAGAGAGAGAGAGAGAGAGAGAGAGAGGGAAACATTTTTTGTTCCACTTTTTTGTGCATTCATTGGTTGATTTTTATATGTGCCCTGACTGGAGATCAAAACTACAACCTTGGCGTACTGGGATAATGCTCTAACCAGCTGAACTACAGGCTAGGGCCTCTATCATTTTTCAAGTGCAAATTTAAATCATGTGTGCTATAAAGCTGAATATTTGTGGAAGTCACTCAACTAGGACATTTACTCACTCCCCACACATTTACATATAGCATTCTACACACAGTAACTTTATTGTAGTAAAAAAAAATAACTTTTAGGTTAAATAGTCATTGAGTTAACTTAAATAAAATACATAAATTTCAACCTAAATATCATGAAAAAGAAACCATTTGACTATATGTGTCTATTTTAACGAATTTGACTACCCAGAAGATATTCAGACATATCATGAGTCTATTACATATTCTAAATAGAACACAATAAATGTTTAACATTTGTTAATAATACTACCTGTGGTCTTTGCAAATGATTAAAAGTATGCATGTCACTAGAGCACATAATTTCCAGCATTACAAAAAACCCACCCCACCCCTGTAAGTGCCATAAATTACATATGTGAAAAACAGCAGAGAACTGGTTGAGATGCAAATATTGAGAGATTTAACTAGGTTTACACACTAGCTACAATTAGGCTAGGTTCACTACATAAGTCCAATAATTTTAACACTAATATTCCAACTGAAAATTACTGAGTGTGTTTTGCAATGGATCACATACACTTGGTACCCTAAATTCTAATGTATGAATTCCAAGACATGATTTTAGTAAAGGTAATACTGAACATAAGCTATACTCCAGTAAAGGTTCTGATTCAACTTATGATGGATAAATCCACAACAGAACATCACTTCTACCCTAACAGCAACAACAAAATGCCAAAAAATTACAAAATCATAACATTCAAGCCCATCTGAGAACTGAGGAGATGGGTAAAGTAAATTCCAAAGGATTAAAAGCCTTCTAAAGAAAGAAGGGACACATGGACTGAGCACAAGAGTAAGCGGCCAGCATAAAAAGAAAGTAAAAGAAACCAATGTAAACATTACTTTGTTCTTAAAGACCAAGAGATGACAAAGGTGAAAGTTTAGAAAACCTGGGACAATTTTACTCTGCGATCACCCTATAGTTCTGCATCGAGAGCCTTCACCATGTGCTCATGAGAAGACTGGGGGCAGATGAGAGACCAAATAGAGTTCCCTCTTCATGGTTCACAGGCACAAATCCATACTCACCTCTTGAACTTTTTCTTATGTGAATTGAAAGTTGTAAGCCACTGGATAAGAAGCAGGCAAACCTACCTTCTACTGCCAGCAAAGGTAAATGGTAGAAGCAAAAACTGATCCTTCTATCACAAGTCTTGCCTCAAATAACAAGCAACAGAACTCTGCTGAAACAAGGGGGTAAATTATCTGCCACCAGTTCCAGGTGAAGGCACATAGCTTATAACTTCTGATGGAAGTACGGAAGCAAACTTGTCTGCCCTGTGAAACAGCTCAGCTTCTGTTGCTGTAGGGGCAGGGAATTTGCTCCTTGGGCTTTTTGTAATGCTGGAAATTACGTGGCTACCTCTGATTTCATGTGGAGCCTAAGAAGTCAGTGAGATTTCTTTACATTCCTGTTCCATGAGGCATGTGTTAGGAACAAGAGCTGTTTCTTAGATTTTATCATCCAGCTTGAGTTTTAGGCAGGTCCTCTCTACCTGGGTCATAATGATGGGTCTTTCTCAACATCTCTGTTCTCCACCATGACATTCACATTGGTGAATTTGAACCTTGTGATTCATTAAAGGTAACGACCACCACAGCAAAAAAACAAATTTGGCTCAACTACTCTCTGGTTTGACTCAACTCTCCATAGTAATAGACTGACAATAGAAGAGACATGAACTTTTCTAGGCATAGGAACTATCTGTCTCAGTCTCTACATTTCAGAATTCAATAAAAAATGACCATATACACATACGTATATACAAAAATAGCAAGACAATAAAATGAATCTTTGTCAAATGATAAAGCAGACAAGAGAACCAGACACAGAGATGAATTAGATATTGGAACTGATTATCAAAGACTTTTATCATTAATATGTTAAAGGACCCACTGGAAAAGAAGGACATGTATGAATTGTCACCAGAATTTCAGCAGGAATATAGAAACTATAAAAGGTGGCAAAATTGAATACTTAGATTTAAAAAAATACATATCAGAGATGAAGAATTCTTTGTCAGTAGATAGAACACAATAGAGGACAGAATCAGTAAATTTAAAAATAGATCAATAGATATTCTCTACATTGAAATAGAGGAAACAATGAATGGAAAACAAAAACAAAATAGAAGCAAGTATCCAAGAATTGTGGGACAATGTCAAAGGATCTAAACCCTGGGTCCAGTATCTCTTCTTCCCGTCTAACATAATTGAGGAAATTATATTGAGACATTTGGATACTGTACTTGGATAAAGACTGAATTACCAGGCTTCAGTAATCAAGTAGCCAAATTAGGGTCAGTGGGATTTGAGAAGGTCCTGTACGTGTGATTTTTAGGACATTTTCTAAATTTAAATGAAAAACCTTTTTTGTTTTCCCTTTTCTTTACACTTCTTACTGGCTGAAGGTGGGTGTCCTACTGAAGACCTTAGAGCAACACTTTTATAAAAACCTGAGTCCTTGGCACCATGGATTTATCATCTCAATTCTGAACTAATTATGCATGGCCTATTATCTGAGATATAAATAAACATATTTTTCTACAGTAAAATCTTGGATCTTATGCACCGTTCAAAGAAAGATCAGCAACTAATTTCCTAGCAGAAATATATTGGCCCCTCAGAACACATAATTAAGTTAGGGGAAAGGTTGCTTTTAAAAATGTTACACATCCTAAACGTAGAATTTGAGTATTATGATAAATGTCATGATTAGATACAGAAAAATTATGCATCTTTAAAACACTAGACACAAATAGCTAGAGAAGTGAATAATATATCCAAATATGTAGGCAGCATATAAATACCATCAAAAAGTTTATTCTCTGAAGTAATGAATAACTAAATAATTTCAGTCTGTGCAAATACACACTAAAATTATACAAAGCCACTATGAAACACAAACGCTATCAAATGATCCAAATATCATCCCTTGTAATATCCTTACATTTATTCTCAATATAGATTTAAACCAGCGGTTCTCAACCTGTGGGTCACGACTCTTTGGGGGTCGAACGACCCTTTCACAGGGGTCGCCTAAGACCATTGGGAAACACATATATAATTACATATTGTTTTTCTGATTAATCACTATGCTTTAATTATGTTCAATTTGTAACAATGAAAATACATCCTGCATATCAGATATTTACATTACAATTCATAACGGTAGCAAAATTACAGTTATGAAGTAGCAATGAAAATAATTTTATGGTTGGGGGTCACCACAACATGAGGAACTGTATTAAAGGGTCATGGCATTAGGAAGGTTGAGAACCACTGATTTAAACTGTTGTATCAAATTGCCAATAAAATTAATAATTGAGCCTGGCTGTCATGGCTCATTGGTTGAGCACCACCCCATGAATCAGATGGTCATGGTTCAATTCCCCATCAGGGCACTTACCCAGATTTCCAGCTTGATTCCCAGAGGAAGGCATGATGGAGGCAGCCAATCAATGATTCTCTCTCAACATTGATGTTTCTATCTCTCCCTCTCCCTTCTTCTCTAAACTCAATAAAAATATATTTTTTAAAAATTCACTAATAATTGAATTTATAATTTTAATTCTATTTTCTTTATTCAGCCATCCATTGACTCAAAAAAACTGTTGGCTGTTTAGAATATGCAGAACTATACATTGTGCAATACACACATATTTCAAATGTTCTCACGGAGTTGATTGGATTAATTTAAATGTAAATATAGTACACATTAAAGTAACTATGTAATAGAAATTAAAATAAAAACTGTTTTACACTAGTAAAGAAATCAGTAACATTTCTTTTCTGGCTAGATTCCATGAGCAAAGGTATCATCACTGGGCAAAATTGCGTTTTCATAGAATCTAAGAATTGAGGAGGATATTGGAATGGAAAGGTCAAACCAAGAAGTTTGGGAATATAATAATGCTTTTGTAAAAGAAACAGCTACATTATAAGACACAGAAAGAGCACTTATTTGGGTATTGGGAAACCTGACTTCTATTTATTGGTTTTCCAATACTTCTTTCTAATCTTAGAAAACTTATTGTGCCTTAGATTTCTCATTTATGAAAGGAAGGTAAGTTCTAATGGTCTGTGAGTTTTCTTCTCCTTCTTTTATACCATAAATTTATGTTATGCATGGATATGCATCACATGCATGAGCTTAAACCCCTTCTCTAGACCACTGATTCTGAGGGTCCCTATCCTCCCTATATTTTCACCAGATAAATTGTGTCTATCATTCAGCTGCTCTTTTCAATGTTTTGCCATTGGGGGTATTTAAAACCTGATCCATTGAACACTAATAATAAGGATCCAAGAGGCAGGTGGCCAAGAGCAAGGTATGGGGGGGAAGGGGGGAGAGGGATAAATGCTGATGGGGAAAAATAAAATAAGAAAAATAAAAACACTACATAGAGTAAACCTGGTGGAACTACAGTCTTCACTACTGCCATGCCCTGATAAACTGGCTTAACCAGACCCGGAGAGCCCACAAGCTGGTCCTCACACGGATGCTGTAGTAACTTTAAAGAGTCGTAGTTGCAGAAAGTCACAATCACATGTCTGTTGATTTAATCATGACCATCTTAACTTTTATTGGTGCATTCTCAGAATGCTTATGGATGCCACTCAAGTTAGTAAACTGAGGAGGCAAACAATATGAAGTGGGAATAGCAACCCATGCTGCTGTTTTAGATACAAAGAATTTTATTTCAAAATTCAAGTCTTTTATATATAAAGGCACACTCCTCAGAGAAAGGAGTTAGCATATTTTATTACTCCATTTTCAGACACAGCAACACAAGTACAAAGAGATTTCACAACCTGTCAAAATAGGCCAGCATTAGAGTTGGGAATAAAAACAATCCAAATTCTATTAACCTAGAGATGTTGTGTTATTAAAAAATAATGTTGCACAAACAAATGCCAATCTGATTGTAAAATCCCAATGTGAAGAGACTTGTTTTTGAAAAAACCTGAAAAAGGTTGACTAATTCCTTGGTGAAATCCATCCTTTTTTGCAAAGTACAAGAACAACATTGGTGTCTTGAATATTTTAAAAGAGATATTTATCTCTTTATTTATTTACATATGAATTTATAACCTAGTTCATCCCATAAAGGATTTGAGACATCACACATAACTAAAATCACACAATAAAAAGGGATGAGATCAGAGAAAAGCACAAATAAACTAAAAGGAAAATGGTAGTCAAACAGTAAAATAGAGTAGAAGTTAGTACACGATTTTGTGTGGTACAATGCCCCATAATAGTTATGACAGTTCCCTACAAGCCATAACAGCAGGACTCACTTTAGAAATTATTACAAGCCCTGCAGTGGGACAGTGTAAGGGCTGCGATGGGAAATGATTGTACTGCATGAACAATGTCCTCTAAATACATACCTCTAAAGCGCTGTATTTTAGTTTCATGCAAAAAATTTTCTCTATCTAGAATAGAGGTTCTTATTTTGAGGCCCCAAGATGGGCTTCACAGGTGGGTACAGGAATTCTAAAACTGAACACATATTTGGATGTTTGCACATTTTTTGGAGAGAGAATTCATAACTTCTATTATATCCTCAAGGATCTTCAACCTCAAAAGCTCAGTTGCTACTGATATAGAAAAAGTGTTGGTGAACTATTATTTATCTTGCAGTTCTTCATTAGTATTATTTTTAAACTTATTTTTTAACTCAGGTTATGATGTATTAGGGAAAGCAAATTAGTGGCTGGTGTCATTTATATTGGCAGAAGCCTGAAGTACAGGTGTCTTGTTGCCAATTATATACATAATTATACACTTTTAAAACCTTCTGGAGAATGAAAAAATTTATTTCCACAAATTTATGTTTTGCATAGATATGCATCACATGCATGAGCTTAAACCCCTTCTCTTGACCATTGATTCTGAGGGTCCATATCCTCCCTATATTTTCACCAGGTAAATTGTGTCTATCATTCAGCTGCTCTTTCAATGTTTATGCATTGGGGGTATTTAAAACCTGATCCATTGAACAGTAATGATAAGGATCCAAGAAGCATGTGGACAAGAGCAAGGTATAGGGGGGATAAATGTTGATGGGGGAAATAAAATAAGGAAAATAAGAACACTACATAGAGTAAACCTGGTGGGACTACAGTCTGCACTACTGCCATGCCTTTGAGTAGAAGATTGAAAGACATGAAGAAGGATAGTTAGGAAAACTAAGAGAACTAACTCACTATTGACATAGACCCAAGTTATTACATTATTTACATGCAAGAATAGAATTGCATGGGGAAAATAATATACCTATCCCATGGACTGTTTTGAGAATTAAATATCTATTATACATAAAGTGTTATATGTGTGTTTACTATTATTATTACTGTTACTATTCTTAGGATTACTACTATGGATTCTGAATCTATGTAAAAAAGACACTGAATAAACATAGACAAGTGAGATAGTCCCTTTAAATAGCTTTATTTACCTTTCCATAAATGAATAAAATAATTCTACATCATGTAGCATAACTGGTATATAGTTGGCCTAGCATATGATTTGTTTTGGGAGTTTTTCTCACACTAAATAGATCCAACTTTAGTGGTTTAAAACTATAGTCATTTATTATTGCCACCAAGTCTACAATTTGGACAGGTGATTCTTCCAACCTGGCCAGGTTTGGCTGATGGGAAACAAAGCAAGGCCATTGGAGGCACAGGGAGCCTGCGGCACCTATAGCTATAGAAACCACTAGCACAAAGCTCAACTTCTGGCTCAGCATAAATCCTCACAGAGGCCTGTGTATCTCTAGTGTATCCTCTCATGTCCAGCTTCCAACAAAAATGTCTGAAATCATCAAAGGCAAGAACAGCAATCTGCAAAGACAAAGTAATGATTAGAACCTGACTCAGATAGATATAGATGTTAGAATTAACAGGGAATTTAAAATAATTAAGACTAATACGTTAAAGTCTCTAATGAAAAACCTGGACAACCTGCAAAGACAGATGGCTATGTAGGCAGAGAGTTGGAAATTCTAAGAAAGAATCAAAATGAAATTCTATAAATAAAATACACTGTAACATAAAGAACATCTTTGGCTCATTAGCAGGCTCAACAAATGTGCAGAAAGAATCAGTGAGTTCAAATATGAGTTAATAGAAACTTTTCAAACTGAAAGTCAGAGAGAGAAAAAATATAGAAACATAATCCTATATGTGTAAGAATTTTTTAAGGTGTAATATATGGTTAATTGGAATATTAAAAGGAGAATAAAGAGAGTAAAAGAAATATTTGAAGTAAAATATCTGAAGACTCATCAAAATGAATGACAGTAAAATTATTCTAAAGTGAAGGTAAAATGAAGACTTTCTCATCAGGCAAAAACCCAGGGTATTTACCATCAGAAGACCTGTACTGTAAGATTTTTTTTCAGGCAGAAGAAACTGAGACATGCCAGAAACTTGTAACAAGATAAGGAACGGAATGGTATCAGAGAAGAAAAAAATAAAGGTTAAATTTTTAAATTTTTTTCTTACTCTTAATTGACCCAAAAGCAATCTGTTTATTTAAAGTAATAACAATAACAATGAATCTGGTGACTATAGTATGTACATAATTGAAATGAATGAGAACAGTGTCACAAGGGATACAGGGAAGAATTAAAATATGCATGTAGTAGCCTGATCAGTGTGGCTTAGTGGTTGAACATTGACTTATGAACCAGGAGGTCACAGTTACATTCCCAGTCAGGGCACATGCTCGGGTTGTGGGCTCAATCCCCAGTGTAGGGTGTGCAGGAGGCAGCCAATCAATGAGTCTCTCTCATCAGTGATGTTTCTATATCTCTATCCCTCTCCCTTCTTCTCTGAAATCAATAAAAATATACTTTTTTTTAAAAAGTGCTTGTAGTATGCATGAAGCAGAATAGTGCCATTTGACACTATGCTTGGATTAGTTTAAAATGGATATTAAATTAAAATATATATTTAGAAAACCAAAACAATTTTAAAAATAATATAATTTATGCACTAAGAGAGGAGATAAAATGGAGTCAAATAAAATAGAAAACTAAGCACTGGTAACAAAAAACAGTTACAAACATCGTAGATATTAATCTAAATATATCAATTAATTCCTTTAAATGTGAACAGTCTAAATATACAACTAAAAGACAGAGATTGTCAGAGTGGATAAAACAAAAAAAAGACTTAACTATAAGTTAGCTACAAGAAACTTACTTTAAACATAAAGATTCAGATACGTTCAAAGTAAGGGGTTGAGAATGATAAACCACATAACACTAATCAAAAGAAATATGTAATTTCTATATTAATTTTAGAAAAGGAAGAAGTGCAAAGAAAATTATCAGGTATAAAGATAGGCACAGTGTCATAATGAATGAGTCAGTTCTCTAATGTGACATAATGATCTTAAACTTGTATGCACCTAAAAGCAGAGTGTCAAAATATGTGGGGCAAAAACTGATAGAACAGAAAGGAGAAATAGACAAATGCACTATTATAATTGAAGAATCCAATGCCTCTCTATTAGTAATTAAAGATCAAGCAGACAGAAAATCAATAAAGACATAGTTCATAAAAAGAGTGCTATCAATCAGCTTGATCTGATGGCCATTTCTAGATTATTCTACCCAACAGCAGCATAATATGCACTCTTCTCAAACTTCCATTGAACTTTCACCATGGTAATTCATATTCTGATTCATAAATCATACCTTAACAAATTTAACACAAAGCTTGTTCTGAGACACATGGAATTTAACTAGAAACAATTAATTTTAATTAAACTAGAAACTAGTGGAACAACTCCTAAAATTTTACTTTGAACAAAAAACAACATACGTCTAAATATCATATTGGGCAAATAAAAATCTCAAGAAATTAAAATATATTTTAAAAAATGAAAGTAAGCCCTAGGGGGTTTGGCTCAGCGGATAGAGCATCGGCCTGCAAACTGAAAGGTCTCAGATTCGATTCCGGTCAAGGGCACATGCCCAGGTTGTGGGCTCAGTCCCCAGTGGGGGACTTATAGGAGACAGCTGATCCATGATTCTCTCTTATCATGGATGTTTCTATCTCTCTCTCCCTCTTCCTTCCTCTCTGAAATCAATAAAAATATATTCTAAAAAAATGAAAGTAAAATTAGAATTAACATTCTAATTAACATTAGAATTTGTGGGGTGCTTCAATTTTAAGTGGTGCTTAAAGGCACATTCATAGTATTAGGTGCACATATAAGAAAAGTGATCTAAAATCAATAACCTAAACTTTCACTTAAAATTATATCAAAAAGTAACTTAAGCCCAAAAGAATCAGAATAAAAGACATAATACAAATTAAGCAGAAATCAATGAAATTAGAAATGGAAAATATTAAAGAAAATCACCAAAAAAAATTTGTGGTTTTTTAAAGATCTATAAAATTGAGAGACTTCTAAACATAAAAAAGAAAAAAAACTAGAGAAGACACAAATTATAAATATGAGAAATGAGAAAGAGGTCATCACTACTAAACACATGTGCATTAGACAGACAATAGAAGACTACTATAAATAACATATTACTACCATTTTAATAATCTAATGAAATGGACCAATTTCTTGAAAGATGCAAAGCACTTAAACCCACAGAAAGAGAATTAGATAACCTGATAACCTAAACAGCCTTATATCTATTAAAGATATTGAATCAATAATTAATAAGTTTCCAAAATAAAGAAATCATTAGATCCAAATGATTTTACCTTTGAATTCTATAGATTTTAAAGAAGAAATTTAAAAAGACAAAAATTAATGAACTAGTAAGTCACCAAAAGACATGGATAAATCCTAAATGCATAATACGAAGTGAAAGAAGTGGTCTGAAAAGGATACATGATATATTATTCCAATCACATGACACTATAGAAAAGGCAAAACTATAGAGATAGTAAAGAAGATCAGTAATTGACAGGGGGCTAAGAGTGGAAGAAAGGTTAAATATGTGAAGCAGAGATGATTGTTTTAGAGTAGTGAAACTATTTGGGATGATATTGTCAGATATTGCATTGAATTTTTCAAAAGCCATTGAACTTTACAGCACAAAAAGTAAAACTTAATGTACACAAATCTTTTTTTTAATTCTTTATTTACTGATTTTAGAGAAAGAAAAAAATGAGATAGATTTGTTGTTCTACTTATTTATGCATTCACTGACTGTATCTTGTATGTGCCCTGACCAGGGATTGAGTCCATGGCCTTGGCAAATTAGGATGACACTCCAAGCAACTGAGCTACCCAGCGAGGGATTAACGTACACAAATTTTGAGAAATCATGTAAGAGGTCAGGGAAATCTCAGGATGAAATGCAGGATATGACAAAACAATGACTGTATTACAAATATGATAGAAATTCATTGAACCCCTTCAATAATGGTAGTGGAAGAGGATTACAGATCTATGTAACTGCAAGAGGGTAGAGTCTGTAACATTAAAGACAAAAGAAATGTACATAAGAACTCTACTCTAGTTGATAAAATTGATTCCCACTAGGGTATAGGTTAACAATTCTGACACTATTATACATGTATATTGGAATTAAAAATTAAAGTGTTTGTTGGATGGTGGGAATTAGGTTAGAATGGGAGTTTACAAATAAGCAAGGAGGGGAGGCTAGAATGGTCCATGTGATACTGCAATAGAGTTGAACACATTAATATGACTTATGTTTAGCTTAACATAGATAGGAATGGTTACATGTATATGTGTATACTAACATACACAAGTTAGTATACACATATACATTTCCTGCCTATTGGCTGACAGGGCCTAAAAGCATTAAGACTCAGTAACATTTTTCCCATTGATCCCACTTCTAGGAATATATCCCAAGAAACTAGAAACATCAATCAGAAAAGATATATGCACCCCTATGTTCATAGCAGCACAATTAACCATAGCTAAGATTTGGAAACAGCCTAAGTGCCCATCAGCAGATGAGTGGATTACAAAACTGTGGTACATCTACATAATGGAATACTACGCTGCTATAAAAAAGAAGGAATTCTTACCATTTGCAACAGCATGGATGGAACTGGAGAGCATTATGCTAAGCGAAATAAGCCAGTCAGAGAAAGATAAATATCACATGATCTCATTCATTTGTGGAATATAATGAACAACATAAACTGATGAACAAAAACAGATCCAGAGAAAGAGGAGCATCGATCAGACCGTCAAACCTCAGAGGGAAGGTAGGGGAAGGTGAAGGTAAGGGGGAAAGATCAACCAAAGGATGTGTATGCATGCATATAAGCCTAACCAATGGACACAGACACCAGGGGGGTGAGGGCATGAGTGATGGAAAGGGGGGGCAATGGGGGGATAAGGACACATATGTAATACCTTAATCAATTAAGAAAAGAAAAGACTCTAACAATGAGCACACCTAGCATCCTAATCTTGGTTTCTAATACCATTCTCCAACAAAAGGAACCAGAGCTCCTTGGAAAAATAGATAATTCTAGGAGTGGGTTTGTCATATTTCCCCAAAGCAGGAAATACACAAGATGAGCCCGGAGCATTTAGTAGTACCAGAAAGTAAGGAAGTGTTCAACACACACACACACACACACACACACACACACACACACACACTCTAAAAGGGAGGGGGGATGATAAGGAGCTGTTCAAGGACATAGAAGACAAATAAAAGGGCTTTTAATGGCCACACCTGAGGTAATTTGAGCAATAAAATAAAGTAGTATTGGATGATAACTCAAAATATAAAATAAATATTCATGGGTCTATTTTGATATAAATTATTGAATTTTTAAATAAATTGGGGAAAGTAGACAAACATTTGATGCATAATAATTCCAAATAAATTTATCTAAATACCCCCCACTATATTAGGGAAATATAAATCTCCATTCCTCAAATATGGGCTTGCATAGTGACTTCCTTCTAAATAGTATACTATGAAAAGGGATAAAAGGGGACATCTGTAATACTTTCAACAATAAAGATTTGTAAAATAGGAATGTAAGGAACAGATTAATTGAACTAGAAAAATATAGCATAATGGCCAGGCCTCATACTGATCATGAATCTTAAATGAAATCAATCGGCATGTATCTGTGTGCATGTGTTGTTTATATTTTTCTTCAGCCATGTTTCTTTGCACGGGCACATGCACAGGGTAGGAGAAGAATTTATTTTAACTAAGGTTGGTTAGTGAAGAGAAGACACAAAGTAAGGTTATCATAATAACTGTAAGTCATGGAGTTTATGCTGAATAAATAAGAAAAGGGGAGGACTGACTTTGGAGGCTACTAATGGTAATGAACTAGAAAGATAGAACTGGGTGCTCAGAGAATGGGATACTTGCAATGGGATTATAGGAGGTATAATTATCCTATATAATAAAAGGCCAGCCACCATAAGTGTAATGACGGGAACAACCAGAGACCAGAACCACCATGGCCCCTCGCCAGCGTTCATTGGGGGTCGAACGACCCTTTCGCAGGGGTCGCCTAAGACCATCGGAAAACACATATATAATTACATATTGTTTTTGTGATTAATCACTATGCTTTAATTATGTTCAATTTGTAACAATGAAAATACATCCTGCATATCAGATATTTACATTATGATTCATAACAGTAGCAAAATTACAGTTATGAACTAGCAACGAAAATAAGTTTATGGTTGGGGGTCACCACAACATGAGGAACTGTATTAAAGGGTCATGGCATTAGGAAGGTTGAGAACCACTGCCTAGGTAGTGCTAATGAAAGCATCAATGAGTCATGACACAAAATCTTTAAAAAATGAAGAGTGACTAAAAACTGAGGACAGGGAGAGATAAAAGTAAATACATGACTTGTAACAAGGCAGGACAGTAGTAAAGTTTGACAACAGGAGCTTTATGCAAATGACTAGGGATAAAGTGGTGGTGTTGGGTGGGGGTGCGATCATTGGAAGTGTTGCAAAGAGGAGCTAGGAAAAAACCTTCCCACCTCCAAGCACAGAGGTACAAGTGTGGCAGAGGAAAATATCCACCACTTAAGAGTGATGTAGGAAAGCTGTGTCCTCAGAGAAGAGACAGGTTTCATGAGAGTGGAGCAACAAGATGAGGGAATTTCGTAGAAGAGAATGATACAGGAATGACTCCCAAAGGCACAGTGAGTGTCTCAAGGCATTGCACAGAGCTCTGCAAGGACTGGAGTCTGCTGGACAGGACATAACATGGTGGCCTACATGATAAAACGGGTCTGAACATCATATAGCAGAGTGCTGGGAAGGTGCATGCCTGGGGGAGTTGGCATCTCATAGGTGCTGAGTATTGAAGCTCCCTATTCTTTATTAATCCTCTAGACAATATAAAGAATATTACTGGAGTCTAAGATGTACAGAATTAAGCCCAGATTGTTTCAGGATTACAATCTGGAAAACTTACCCTCCTATAATGAGGATCTGGACTTCTGTGATCTCCTTCCACAGAGCCCTGCCACAGACTATAACATTCTAGAATCTGCTTTTGAAAATAAATTGTACTTTTAGTGCTATCACCTCTAAGTTTAAAAAGGTTGGAATCAAAAAGAGGAAAAATATTTATTTTCAGATCAGGCACCTGCTGCTTTCAATTTAGATTTTGAGTAAACCATTAGATGTGAAAACAGCAGAGTGAAATGCACTGTGTTCTAACCTCCCTAATTAACAGCAGTCGGTTCAGAGCAACCTTAGGCAGGGTCTCCTTTTCTTCACTGAGAGGACCAGGGGAGACCTTGAAGGCAAAATGTGTGAGCCCTGTTAAAGAAAACCTCAAACAACAGATAAGCACTGGCGTCTTTGAAGAAATTGTGAACACCCTCTGGGGAGAAAATTAGACTTGTGAACTTAAAAAAAATGGCACACAAACATTTTAACACAGAACTGAGGACAGAAGTCAACAGGGATATTTCCACCTGAAGATTGCCTGTTGAGGAAGAAATTAGTTTTGAACATCAAAAATAAAGGAACAAAGGGAGCAGACAACAACATTAAATTAGTGTTCTTTCCTCAAGAAAAAAAATCCCCTTGACCTTCCCACACACAAACACAGTAATCAAGCTCTGCTAATGAAAAAGGAAACCTCTTTCCAAATAAGAAAATCTAACTCTAAGAAACCAACCATAAAACGAGTTGTCTTTATAAGACCTCTATATTTTCACTCCTTCAATAAAGTGGCTGGTTTTTTTTAATGATCTCTTGTTATTAAATAGATTATTGGCTTTATTCCTCTATTTATCAACAATTTATTATCTGACACTATTCATTTATTACCATTAACTAAAAAGGTGCAAGGCTTCAGACTACAGACAATTGATGCCATTTTCCCCTCAGAATTGTGTTGGGAAGGAAGAATTTTCTTCTACCCTATAAAGATTCTTTCAACTGGTCTGATAATCAACTTGACGTGAGAAAGTATGACAGGAGAAAAACAAATTTAATTTTGTACATACCTGCATGAGAGGTTAGACAACAGAAAGGGAATATGAGCCATATATGCCATCTTGAGCTAAGCCTGGGGCTTCAGAGGAGAGGAGGGTAAGTTACAGGACAAAAAGAAGATCAGATGTTTGATAATCAGATGTTTGCTCTTCTATACAGATAAATCATAACATTTTATTTTTGGTCATAACTCTTATTATGGGCAAGGCCCCAATTTAAATGCTTTAAGGGAGAGGTACAAGTTTCTCTTAAGTCTGAAGGGTCTCAATTGCCTTTAACTCAAAATAATCCTCACACCAAAGTGGCACATCTTGGGAGGCCTGTTCTGAATTCAGGTTTAGAGGCTGCTGCAGTCAGACCTCCACGCGATGTATGCAGAGGGGATATTTAAACCAGTGTTCCCTTATAATTATGATTTGGCTCACAGCAAACCTCATGCAGGTTTCTTCTGTGTTGGTTGCTGTATAATTCAGAAAAATAATCTTTAACTAAATGTAGTGATGGTCTCCAAATATTCTTGCTTGAGGAGCCTGTTAACTAAGTTCTAAAAATGTGTACTCTCTCTCTCCTCACATTTTTAAGTTGTCATCTAAGGTTTGGCTCATTAAGTTTAAAAGTTGTACTTCCTAGTCTACATTAAATACTAACATTTTATATTTATAAAATATGTATATAAATTGTCAATATAACTCAAACATATCCAATGAAATATGTCATTGTATTATCATTTTTTGAAATGAAAATATCATTCATTTCAAAAAATACCTGAACAACCTCTCCTTTAAAAGAAACGTTTCATTGCTCCTTTTTCTTCCAGACACTATACTCATATTCTACTTCTCTCAAAGAAATCTCATTAAGGGAACATTTCAAAGAATAGCCATTTAATGAGTTAAAGCAACTTGTACTAAAGGAGTCTCCTCTGGTTCCAGTACTTAATGTTTTTTTTAATCCTCACACCAGGATATTCCTCCATTGATTTTTAGAGAGAGTGGAAGACAGAGAGAAATATTAATGTGAGAGAAACATATCGATTGGTTGCCTCCCACATGCACCCTAGGAGGAGCCTGCAATCAAGGTTCATGCCTTTGACTGGAATTGAACCCGGGACCCTTCATTCCACAGGCCAACTCTGTATCCACTGAACCAAACTGGCTAGGGCCAGTTCTTAAAATTTTTCTTTGTTTACCATTCCGAAAATTTCAGGTTGGGAGAAAGGTATACCATTTTTTTTGCAAAATGGAAGAAAGTGGGAGGGGGTGGAGAAATAGAATCAGCATGATGCCTCCACCCCAGGTATTTTATAAGGCAGCTGGCTTTTAGGAAAGAGAACATGTGGACACTGAGCTGCAAATTGACATCTTTGAATCCATCTGTGCCCAGTCACCCAGTGGAAAGTTTCATGTGCCACCAAGAGTGTACTTATTCACATGCAGACCATATTAGCAGAGGCCATAAATGACTGCTTCTCTCGATGCCTTTTTGTGTGGAATCCATTCTGGTGTTGCCTGACTTCTCTGGAGCAAGCTTGGGACAATGGAGAGCATGGCTCACAGATGGGGGAGGATTATTCACATCTGGCTCTTTCAGTCTGGGCTGCTTCAAATGAGAGAGAGGCAAAATCAGCACAGTGAAATAACTCAGAGGAGACGAGAGAGTGGGGACAGGCCCAACACAAAGGCAGAGAAGAAGACATTTACAATTTTCTCCTGGTGCCTCCAATTCGTGGGGTTGGCTTCTTTGTGTTTGTCCCCTCTCCCTGGGAGCATGAGGGACAGAACAAGTACAGGAAAGCTGAAGTTGCCCCTACAGTCTGGAGTTTCCACTAGCAAACTAGTATCCTGCTCAATCAAACCAGCTCTGGGTTTGTCACCTAGATCAAGAAACAAGCTGTGTCACCCTAGATCAACTTACTGATCATCTCAATCAGAATAATGTAGACAATGCAGTACATATGTCAATATTTCTTGGTGAGGCTTAAAATAATTAAAATCTGTGCATGCTCTGCACA